CTGGTTGCATGGGTCATGGTTAGATTCAGTCACTGACAGCAGACTAAAGGTTTAAACATCTAAGTGTAACCAAAATCTTTATGTTAGCTTAAACTTTAATGAAGCTTATTTAAAGGGACTCCACTGAGGTCTTTTGACATGACAGGACTGGAAATTATTTTCAAGATTCATGTTCCATTTGATGCAAGTTTTGGGCGCAAAAATCAGAATAATTATTCTTATCATGAAAATGACATAAAATTGAAAAACGTTGCAAAGCTTTATAATCATATTTGTCTAAATAGCACAAAATACGATTTTCAATTTATTTCTGAGTATATTTCGTAATTAACCTCAGCAAATCTTTCAATTATAAGTGCCCAACCGAAAAAAAACCAAACGTTATGTTTTTATGTTTTTGGACCTCAGTGGGGTTCCTGTAAAATAAATTTCCCAGAGCTTAGACTCCGGTATTAGTATCATAACAATGTGCAACAATTGTTGTGATCCAAGAAGACCTGGACCCCACATAGCATATATCTTAATCTCATATTCCATTTAGTTGATTATCATGTTCTATTTCAACCAACTAAGTAATCAAAGATTTTCCATTCCTTTAAAAAAATTATAATCATAGCACATTTCAAGGTAAATTTCATCTTTCTATATCTTAAGGCCAATCCTTTTCTACTTCTTATCTTCACCAGACTTCCCCTAGCAGAAAAAACTCATGGCTGCTAATAAAGCTATGACAATATTTCCTCAAGTTGATTGACTTCCTTCAAGAGACAACAATCATCAAATTAGCCTGGTTAGTTGAGATCATTTTAGCTGTTACCCTTCACTTCAGACCCATTACTTCGCTTTCGAAGACAAAGCAGCATTGTACAATCATTGAGACATTCCCGATTAACAGTTCCACTACATGCGACACTCCAATTTCTTTATTGTGTCATTTTTCCTAGAATTTAATTACCTGAAAATCTTGAGTATCTGGATAAGCAGATTTTGCGTGTTTTCCGTCTATTTCTTGATAAATGAGACGATTTTAAATCAAATTGTTTCTGTGACAATACTGATATTACCAATTTTAGACCAAATGTAAAAACAATATGGAATTCCTATGAAGCAGATTGCATTAAATTGTATAGTGATTGACTTAGGTCTTTGTTGAAGCTTTAATGACATATGCTCCTGTGTTGAATTTCAATTACAAGCAAATTTTATATCAGTCTCAAATTTGACACAAAAAGAAAAGTGAACTACCTTAAATGAGATATCAGAATTGAATTCTGGATGACACTCAAATGAATCTTTGAACAACTATCTTACCATTATAGTTCAACAAGGAAATGAAAAACAAATTGTAGCATAAATTAATTAACCACCAAGAAAAACTGATCTTATTAACTTGTAAACAAAAGCAGAGTGGGACAGAATGAAAGAAATTTCAGCAACATTCCAACCTGTAGTTAATTAATTCTAATTTACTGTTTGTCTGTAGACCTTTATTGCTATGATATACATCAAAGCACTTGGTAAGACCTCGTACTTTGGACGACACAAGTTAACTTCCCTACACTGACGCTGTTATAATTAGAGTTACATCCCCTTAATCCTCACAAGATGTTATGGAGGATAAAGAGAGATGATGGAAGAAAAGCTTCAAGCCATAAAATTCATTTTGTGAAAATATTGAAAACAGTCCTCATAAACGATGCTTAATAATGTGATAATGGTATATTTTCTGAACTCGATCAATTTAGTGTTCCTTCAAAAAATTAGAAGTTGTCGTGCATGCCAAAATGCGCAAATGTGTTTAATCAATTACCCATATAACATACGGAGTTAATTTTTGTCTTAAAATTATTTCAGTAATTCATATAACGGGTAACAGTTAGATGTGGGTGTCCCATAGAGCACACAAGAAATACGTTGATTTATCTATCAAAGTTTTTTTCCTAAACTTCCTGACTTCAGGTGGATGTCTTTGATTCATGTTGTACTGATGAGCACTTAGTAATAAATAAATTATATGTATGGCATCTTTGCAAAAAAGAAACAAAAAAGACACAAGATTATCGGCTATGTTTAAAGATAATCCTGCAAAATTAAAGAAAAACCATTACTTTCATTTTGAACTAGAGTGATTTTCAAAGTTTCAAAGAGCCGCTAAAAACTAAAAGTAGGGCATCAATGAGAATTAATCCCTCAAATGAAATTGATGACTCTCTAAAGGAAAGTTTCAATAAAAATTTATATTAAGACCGAACATGAATAGGCAATTAAAATACCTGAATAATTTCTACCTTGTCTTCATATCAGCAATTTTCATCATGAATTTTTAACATCCAACAAAAGCTGTCAGAAGGACTGTATGCTGGACTGTTCTAAGTGCTTGATAGTAAAACATGTTCCTAGACAATGTAATAATCAAGAAAAAGGAAGATTGCATTTCAAAATACATGCCATATTTATGAGTTTTTCACTGAGGGCAGTATTTCATTCAATATCCATGCCAGAGTTATCTTGGATAATTACCCTCAATTATTATCTTGAAAGTCATGAATTAAGTTTCAAGTGAATATCATCAATATTTTTTAAAACTGATTTGCATGCAAAACTTCAGCCAAAAATTTGCAATTGCCATGAAAGAGTTATGGGCCTTAGACAGTGACCATCAATTATTATCCCAAACAGATACCTTCAGTAACTTTTAAAAGATATGAAGTTGTACAAGTAGTTGCACAACAAATTTTAACTGTACATTGCAACTAAACTGTTACATCTTGTAGATCCAGCTTTGTAAAATAATCAAGAACTTCTTGTGCAACGACCCCAAGAACTTCTTGTGCATTTTAGAAACATGACACATGCTTTCTCCCATTCATCTTCGAATGAAGAGTACTTTGGCATTGGCTACGGAAAATAAACAACAGAGACTTGCCGTAGAGAAATTAAACTTTGCTTTTACAAGAAAATTAGACACTTTTGAGAAAAATCCTGAAAAATCTTGAGGGTGACTATTTTTTAGTTTACAAAAAAGTTTTATTTTTTATTCAACACCATTTTGTTAATTCATACCAGGCAAATGTTCATTTCCATTTTTAATGGCACAGACTATAGTGTTACCTTGATACTTGAATAATGAGCTAACTAGAACTGTGTCCAAAGGACACAGATGCCCCCACTGTGAAGATGTGCTCATAAACAAGAGCATGCATATCTGTATGTAAGATTTTTATGTGGAACTTTTTATTAAAATCTGCCATCCGGTTTAAGAGGAGTTGCGTTCACAAAATTTCTATATGGTATATAGTGAAAAAATCAACAAAGGGCCATAATTCTGTTAAATTTGGTCGAAGCAAAAATTCCTACCTTTACTACCATCTACACATTAAGGTTGTTCATCCCTGGAACTATAAGCAAAATCTGCCATCCGGTTTAAGAGGAGTTGCGTTCACAAAATTTCTACATAGTATATAGTGAAAAAATCAACAAAGGGCCATAATTCTGTTAAATTTGGTCGCAGCGAAAATTCTTTCCTTTACTACCATCTACACATTAAGGTTGTTCATCCCTGGAAGTTTAAGCAAAATCTGCCATCCGGTTTAAGAGGAGTTGCGTTCACAAGATTTCGGGACATACGGACAGACATCTGGACGGACGGACAAGTGCAACGCTATATGCTCCCCACTTTGTGGGAGCATAAAAATGAATCACAAATCTTTTTTTTTTAGAATTAAAGAAAATAAAAACAAAAAGTTGTTTTAAACAAGGCTGTTTGTTGACTGTATGTATTTCAGAATAAAACACCATTTAAAATCAATTCTTTTATCAAACAGATATAATAAGAGCCATTCTTTAATTTTAACACGACTTCAAAGGGCAATTTACTAAAGTAAACAATATCTTCATAGAAATGACAAATGTACATACATGTAATTAAATGTAGACAATACTAACAAGCCTTCTGCTTCTAACAAAACAAGACTGGTAGTCAGCTTTCAAGTGCTCCTTCAAAAGACAGCAGGCAAAAATCTTTAGTCACAGTCACAGTTGGTGCTGCATAATGCAGAGCGCAGTTGAAGCGCTGATAAATAACATTTATTACATAAATCAAACACACCCAGTTCCAAAAGACTGACGAGGGCTTACTTGATTGAAGTACTTTGCCAGCATCAATTTCAATAATTAACCACATCTTTGTACACTTGCTAAGCTTGTTAACATGTGAACAAGCTATGTCTTATATCACACAATCATACTGATCTGACAAATGGAGACAAAACTTCTATAAATTACATTTAGTAAACAGTTATTTCTTGTTTAAGAAAAAATGTAAGAGGTGTGCTTAGATTTTTACGAAATAAATATGTTTGGACAAAAAGAAAAAAAGAAGGAAAAAATACACACACACCCCAAAAAAACCCAAACAATTAAGGACCTTTTTCATTCTTTTCACCAACCACTTTATACAGAACCTATTCCTGTGCCAAGATACAAACTTTAAATTGAATAAAAAAAGATGTAACTCTACAAACCTTGTATAAAGTCTAACAAAAATGAAGGCACACTATTATATTGTTGGTGTGTACTACTAAGTGTCAGGGAATCAACAGTATAGAGTATGAGAAGATGATGTTGATGTGGCAGGCTGCATCTATTATTATTGCAACTTAAAGATGTAGAATTAGAAATTGTATTATTTTTGTTACAAATTGAAATTTTGTAATTACATGGTTACATAATAATAGTATGTAAAAACACCAAAATGTAAAAAACCTTTCTAATAAGGTTGCCCTAAGATATTTGTAGAAGTATATTATGTGAAAAAGGTGATAAAGAAAAAAATAGCATGGCTTGAGGAACCAAAAATACAACAATAAGAAGTTTTCATCCAATAATACATAAATACATATGAAAAGAAATAGACACAAAAAATAGACAACAGCATTTTATATCTACACCAAAATAATATAAACAAAAATTGACATAAAACAAAGTTGGCAGTGACTTACCATATGCATCTGATTGTATAGCTAATAGAAGAAAAGAATCTACGTTAAAAATAAACTGTAATATGTGAACATGACAAACTGATCACTTTGTGAATGTTAAGAGTGACAATGAAGCAAATGTGGACAGAAAATATTTAAGACACTTCACCTTTATTTAAACAATAATTATGGCTGTTGTTAATTGTGTTAATCTCTTAATTTATTGTGTTAGAAAGATGTTTTATATTTTCCTTATGATTTTCAGATAAGTTTCAAAAGAGTTAAATTTTATTTCCCAATTTTACTTTTTCCATATTTATAACACTATACACATATTTAACCTATCAGGACAAGTTTGTTGGTATTTTACCACCTCTCAGACACATTTATTACTAAAGGTCTTTTTAATTACCTCTATTCTAGTCGACCATTGTCATCTAATAATGTCTTTATTAAGTGTCTCAGTGGAATCTCCATGACAGAAGACAGTGTAGTCAATATTGACATTGCTGTAATGTCATAAAAAAACTTTATCTTTGAGCCCTCTAATATAATTCTTCTAGGGAGCACTTACAGGACATAACTTGGCAATATTTGTTGAGCGTAAGCTTAAAACATGATATGCCAGAATACCAGTGGTCCTCATAAAACAGTTTGGTCTATCTATGAAAGTCTATTATGCAAATTACTGCCGATGTACACTGGTGACAATACTTGGTCGACAATAACTTCAAACGGAAGCTGCTAGTATTTGATCGTCGTCAAGAGACGATGATACGCTAACAATATTATACTGCGAAAGCATGTTGTCCCAGGACGACATCCTTGATTATGATAACGGGTTGAATGTTAGTAATGATGAGAAAGTATTAACTGCACATGATAAGTTTTGTATCCATAATGACCTTTATGATGTATTCTCCAAAGATACATAATTTTGTTGACAAATGTCAGTCAATTTGACAAACTACAGTTTCCATACATATAGAAAGCCCTTGGGAACACATATTGCATAAAACAATCAACTAACTTTGCCAAATATGATAAACTTATAGCATATATACATAAATGTAATTTAACAGAAGTGAAATGAAAAATATAAAATCCTGTACATGTTTCGATTGATTCTAGTCACAAACTTATGAACAATAAATATTTATGTAAAAAAAAGACTTGCAATGCCAATGAAATACTAAAATGGTATGACTGATTAATCATTTGTGAATGATTTTACAGACTCAATGGCTATAGAAAATAATATTTGTTTGCTGCTTTTTTTTGGCCAATTCTTACACATTTTTGGTCAAACCTCAGTAGTAGTCCATCAAATAACTAACCAATAATTACCATTTCTCTGCTAGTGACCAATTACTAATGTAACATCATTTCTGAATCAGGGGTTAGAGACAAATGGTCATTAGACTCAATGTCCAGGATAAAGTGTTAAGGAGCTTTTTTGTCTCACCTAAAGATCAAACCAACCACGCCTGAATTACAAAGACAATGCTCACCCTCTTGAGTGGGCAGACAAAAAATGTAACTGTATGTAAGTTGTTTACCTTGAACAAATACATCAAAATTATATATGAATTTATAGAATCAATCTAAAGCAGAATATTTACATTTTCTGATAATGTTAACCATTACTGTTAAACTAGTGAGTAAGAATGTGAAGTTTAAATAACATGAAAGGCAAAGTAACAAATACATGTAGTGTAAAATATAACACAACAAATTTTATTTGTTCACACATATTAATTCAAATAAATGTTTTTTTTTAAGTTCTAAAAATTTAAGTGCACTGGAAGGAGTGCAAATGCTGTATAAATTAAAATTCTCAACTGTACAATGTTCAAGTGATTCCTTTCATCTCTTCTTAAATGACAAAATGTGCAGTAAGTAAATCAATCCATTAAGTTTTACTGCTACCATCTTGGAAATGAGCTTGGGGACAGGTGCCCCCTTAATTGGTTTCTTCCTGGTGTTATCAGCATTATATCTTCTGGAAATCAAGTTGCTACCAATCAAACAGATACTGGAATGATCCTAATCATAAATCTAAAGCCATTACAAATTAATAGCTTGATAATCATCAGACAGCAATTGAGAAAGCCATGAATGTTGCTACTGTTGTACTTGTAATGTGTTATCCAAATGAATAAAGAATTACTTTAAACACTGTGTCTCCCATTATAATATAAATGCAAATGTTACTAGAAACTTTACCTCTTTATTTTAAGTCCTTGTCATATTTGAACAGGACTAATTCAAACATTTGAGATGTAAAACACATTTCATTGTGTTATATGTTTTAAAGATTCAAGTTCTATAACAAAGCTTATTTGGAACAGAAAATTTACAATATTAGACACATCACTATTTTTTGAAAATTCTTGTGTGACTGGAGTCACAAAATTCTTGGCAAGATTTGCTCTCCCCATTTGAGTACCTCAGAAAAAAAACACAGCCTGGCAGCTGTCTGTTTAGTTTCATCTTTTCTGTCTTGCCACAAGTTTGTCAAAAGTTCATGTCGATTCTACACTCCTCTCTAATCTATCAAAATGTACCTGTGCCAAAAATCACCTGCTTGTTAAAACCAGAGACAAGAGTGGCTTGGTTCAAGGAATTTTGTTCCAATAAACTGACATGATCTTCAGCTTATTCTAATAATCAAGTGAACCAGCTTCTTGGGCAAACTGACAATTTGAGAAAATATTTGATGTGTACAATGTGTAAACCACTAAAAATGTTGACATTTTAAAGAAATTTGCAGCAGAAATTCCATTACTTCTGAATAACTGACACATTCTTTCTTATACAAATCTTGAGACAAATCAAAATAAATATATGCCATATGGCAAGCTCAGACTTATTTTTATGATGCATTTTGCAATCCTAGAAAATTGAAAATATTTAGAAGATTAAACAAAAAGAAGGGACATGCCTTTTCATGAAATACATTGTTTTTGTCCATGTGAATTTTTTAAATAAGATATAATAACTTAGATACATCCTATCATAAACTGTCTTCTTTCTTTATAGATGCCAAGGTGCCAATATATAACTTTGAGCAGTTGAGAATCAAAACCTTTCTTTGAACAACTGTCTGACTGTCACTAGGAATGGCATTACACTGTTTCAATAAAGCAGAAATGCTACTTTAATTTAGTAAATTACTATTATTTAACAAGTCTATGTTAGGTTACTAAGGTATACATCTCTTTAATATGCTCAATGGGTGGGCATATGCATCTCTTTAAAAAATTGTGCTCATGGGCCAGTGTATGCATCTCTTTAAAAAATTATGCTCATGGGCCAGTGTATGCATCTCTTTAAAATAATTTGCTAATGGGCCAGTGTATGCATCTCTTTAAAAAATTGTGCTCATGGGCCAGTGTATGCATCTCTTTAAAAAATTGTGCTCATGGGCCAGTGTATGCATCTCTTTAAAAGATTGTGCTCATGGGCCAGTGTATGCATCTCTTTAAAATAATTTGCTCATGGGTGGGTGTATGCATCTCTTTAAAATAATTTAATCATGGGTGGGTGTATGCATCTCTTTAAAATAATTTGCTAATGGGCAGGTGTATGCATCTCTTTAAAAAAAATTGCTCATGGGTGGGCATATGCATTTCTATAAAACAATTTGCTCATGGGTAGGTATATGCATCTCTTTAAAACAATTTGCTCATGGGTGGGTATATGCATCTCTTTAAAACAATTTACTCATGGGCGGGTGTATGCGTCTCTTTAAAATAATTTACTCATGGGTGGGTGTATGCAGCTCTTCAAAATAATTTACTCATGGGTGGGTGTATGCATCTCTTTAAACAATTTACTCATGGGTGGGTGTATGCATCTCTTAAAATAATTTGTTCATAGGTGGGTGTATGCATTTCTTTAAAATAATTGGGTCATAGGTGGGTGTATGCATTTCTTTAAATTAATTTACTCATGGGTAGGTGTATGCATCTCTTTAAAAAATAATTTACTCATGGGTGGGTGTATGCAGCTCTTTAAAACAATTTACTCATGGGTGGGTATATGCATCTCTTTAAAATAATTTGGTCATAGGTGGGTATGTGCATTTCTTTAAAATAATTTGTTCATAGGTGGGTGTATGCATCTCTTTAAAATAATTTGTTCATGGGTGGGTGTAAAAAACATTCCAATCACAAAAATACTCAGCAACAAGATCCAAGGGAGGCTATAAATACATAAATAATCAGAATGTTTAACAAATTTTTTGTATTTTGCTGAACTTATTCCTGTTTATCCCATCAACAGTTGTTTGGGACATCACCTCATGGCAAAGATAGGATATGACAAATTTCATATCTACCTATACACGTCAGTCATTTTTCACTGATTAATAAACCATATGGATTCTTCAAAATGCCACTGTTTTCTCTTTCAATGTTACTGCTTTTAATCTAATGCTCTGAAAAATTCATTTACCAGATGCTCACCTTGACAAAAAACTTAAGTCTTTGATACATTAAACATATTCTTTGAAAATAATAAATAGTATACATTGATCTCATAGACAAGAAATCTGCTAGGGTTACCATTTCGACAACATCTATTGTTGTCAAAATTATGTCTTTGTAATATCTAGAACTCATTAAGAATTTCTACAAGTACAATAATTATCATTTCCTTTACTTTTTTTAATACACATCCATTTCCTTTTGTACAATATTTATTTATATTTCTAAGAACAATTTTTATTAAAATTTCTTTCTGTACAACTATTATTAATTTCATTATGTACAATTATTTTCCATTTCTTTATGTACAATTCTTATTTATTTCTTACAATCATTATCAATATCTCTGTATATAAAATTATCATGAACAGTTATTTATAATGTCAAAACAAGCAATTAGTGCTCTTATTATGGCTCTCATTTAGTCAATAAGTATAGGTTAGTTTTTATTAATATGTTTTAACAAATAAATAAAATAAAAAAAAATAAAACTAACATCAAAGTATTTTCAGGTTTTGGAGCAGTTATTACAAAGTATAAAGTGATTTTTAA